GAGGGAGAAAAGCTGGTTCCACAGCCATTGAAGCTTTTTCCACCATTGAAGCTTTTTTCCTATGGTGGAAGCTTTTTCCTCATGCCACTTGAAGCTTTTCCTCCCGCCAGATGAAGCTTTTCCACAGCCCAAGCTTTTCTCTTGTCTCCATCACAAATATGAAGCTTCATTGCACGTCGAGCTGCATCGGCAGTAGCAATTCAGATTGACGCTTCCAGCAAAAAGAAACACTGCTTCCAGCAAAAAAAAGTGTTGGTCGATCCTCGCAGCTCTGAAGAAGCTGGTTCCAGTAAAACAAATTGATGCTTCCAACACACAGAAAAAAACGGCATCCAACAAAAAAGGACATCTAAGATTGATAGCACGCCATACCTTCCAGCAAAAACGCATTATTTCCAGCTCCGCCATTTGCAGGTTGCAATTTTTGCCTTGCCGGTTGCAACTCCCTCCCCGGCCGGTTCCAGCTCCGCCCCTTGCTGGTTCCAGCCCCGCCGCTTGCCGGTTCCAGCTCCTCCGCTTGCCGGTTGTAGCTTTGCCCCAGCCGCTTGCAACTCCATCGTAGCTGGGTCCAGCTCCACCACCCGCGGGTTGCGCACGGGAGGTACGCCATCACCGGCGTGGGTACCCTTCCCCTGTCGCAGCACCGTCGGCGCACAGCAGCGCCTGCAACTCCCCCTGCTGCATCGTCTCCTCCTTCCTCAGGCGATCTGCGCGAGTGCGGAGCACCCCGCCGCGGTCGCCTCTCACGTGGGTGAAACGGCATGGCACGTGGTGGCCCTCCCCAGCGATTTGCCTTAGCGGGGGTAGGCGGCGGCCATGGCCACTCGCCGATCTGGAGCAGAGGGGAGGGGGTCGGCCGGTCGTGCTCTCGAAGAGAAAGGGGAGAATGAGAAAAGAAATCGGAGGGGATAAGATTTCTTACCAGCGGTGGGTGGTCCCACTAACCTGTACGCGTGTGCGCTGCTGGGTAGATGATGTGGTGTTCGACCGGCCGAGCGTTCGGCCGGCGCGCCGAACGTAAACGTTTCCCTAAAGAGAAAGGCTAACTTCTGACGAGCGAGTGGATGTTGTCCAGGGTTCATGAGGTCTCAGTTCCTTCATCCTTCTCAATAAAGCAAACAAATGGTTTACGCCAAAGAAGGCAAATCTAGGTGTTTTAGCTACAAACAGAATCCGTACGTGCAGGTAGGCTGGTGTCAACTTTTTTCTAAGAAAAGTCTGCTAGGATTTTATTGATCAAAGTTCAAACTTACAGTTAATACAACCGGATCATGGGGCTGACCGAACCAAACATATTGCCCCTGATCTAATGAAAGTGCATGCCTTGCTAGACTATGAGGTTCATAGTTCGAATTTCTCAACTCATGAAGAAAAACACAAGAACTAAAAGACTTGCTCCCTGATTTTATGTCCTTGACCACTCCACCATAGCAACCACCTGTAGAGTCATGTATGTGTTTAACAACGTTCATACAATCCAAAGCAATGCAAAGCTGCTGAAGTCCAAGATCCCCTGCGAGAGCTGGCGCCTCTCGGCAAGCCACGCCTTCAGGCTTTGAACTATATTTGAATTGATTTTGTGGTATTTTAGACAGGAACTTCCTTTGATGCGGGGTTATCTCATTTCTGGCTTACACTTAATGGGCTTTATGGTCCACAATATTTATTGGATAAACGGCTTGTCATTGCCCAACAAGACAGGCACATCTAGCCAGGTTTAAATGGGCTACACCCAGTTAGCGTGAACTGTACTTGCTTAGTTCCAGGTACGTACTATTTTGCTCGATTTTTCAATTTTATTTTGTGTTATCTTTTCTAGGTATACCTATATATTTAAGATCATGCTCTAAAATATGTTTTATTATAATATTTTAATTTTGTTATTTCAGAAAAAAATCTACGTGTATTGAAAATCTTCACACAGCACAAATAAATGTTTCAGTATTTAAATAAAAAGTTAATCATAACTAAACAAATGTTCACCAATTTTACAAAAAATATTCTGTACATCATAAAAAGTTAAACATAAAACTCTTCACCATATTTTAAAAAATTCTACGTAAAATGTATATAAAATTGATCATCTAATTTAAAGAAATTCATGACACATAAAAAGTGTTCATAAACATTTAAAAAATATTCAGAACTTTCAAAAAATGTTTACAAATTTTCAAAAAGTTCATGAAAATTTAGTAAAAAAAAGTCACACAATTTTCAAAGATGTTCATGATATGTAGAAAAATGATTGTGCCCATTTACAAATAGATCACACGTTTTAAAAATGTCCATAAAAATGTGAAAACCTCTTTGCGCAATTTTTTGAAAGTGTTTATGACATATAAAAAAGTTTGTAAACATTTTAAAAAATGTTGGCACCATTTACAAAATTATTCACAAATTTTTAAAAATCTTATTGAAATATAAAAGTTTCCACACAATTATTAAAAAATGTTCATGACAGTAACAAAACATTTCGTGCACATTTAAAAAAGAAGAAGCATTTACACAACATTTCATATGCTTTAAGTATGTTCATGAAAATGTACAGATTTATTGAGGGATATTTCTAAAAAATCTTTCTAACCATTTCAAAAGTAGTTCTTGCAGCATTTTAAAAAATGCTTATGAAAATATAAAAATGTGCTCACGCAATTATTGAAAATATTCATGTCATATTAAAAAAGCTTTCACTTTATTAACAAAAGCATGAGAAAAAAGAAAAAACAAATAAGTAAATAAAAACCCAAACATAAGACAAAAATGTAAAAAGATAAAAATAAACATAATAAAATAAAATATGTAAAACCAGTTAAATATAATAAAGAAACAAAGAAAAGACAAAATTGGACGGAAGGTTTCTAAAACCGCTTCCAGGAATGTTCAACCCGATCCAATGCGATATGTAGAAGATTTCCAAAACTGCTGGCTGTCGGGCCAGTCCATTTCGTGTCAGACTGTAGGTGAGTGGACGGTGCATCTCATTATGAGAGATATATCATCCATGCAATAAGAGTAAAAGGCTGGAAAAGTAATACAATAAAGGACGTGGAGTATCTGCTCCCGAGCTCAAATGCACCCTAATGAATAGTAAAATCAGAAAAATAGAAAAGACATCCATTTTTTTTGTGATAATATTTGACAACTGTTTTGAATGCTTGCAAACTTTCAACACCAAATAGCAGTCGTGGAAGGTGTGGCAAAAACAAGCAAAATCAATGCTAAAAAAAATGCTAGTTTTGAAAACATTTTGGTGTACTGAATTTTTTTTGCCACGACTTCCACGAATGTCGTTTCATGCTGAAAATTTTAAAGCATTCAAAATATTTGACAAAGTTTATCACAAAAAAATACAGAAATTTTTGAATTGTTTTAATTTTTTACTGTTCATCAAGGTGCATTTGAGCCCGGGGTCAGAATAGGACATTCGTAAAATAAAGTCTTTCAATGGCCCCAACTGCTTCCTGGCCAGGCCCATTCCCCTTTCTCTCCTTTTTTTTCTTCCTATGTTTTAAAGTTTTCTATACATATATATATATATATATATATATATATATATATATATATATATATATTTCTTTATTCTAATTTTAGTTTAGTTCCACAATCTGTTCTTCAATTTTTAGCCTTTCTTTGTCTTTTATTTTTCCAAATGATCTATTCGTTTTTATGTATTTACATTTTGATTTTCTACTATTTTTTACCATCCTTTTTCAGCAAGAAACTAAACATTTTTTTCCAAATTATATGAACATATATCTTCACATGCACAATTAGTTTTTGAACTTGACGACTGCTTTCAAATGCATGCTCTTTTCAATACATGAATATACTTTTGTACACTAGAGATATTTTATAACATGAGATGAACATTTCATTTGAAATATATGAACACTTATATTCAGGTACCTGCCTTCTTTTTAAAGTAACACTCCTTTTCGTTTTGAAACTTATTTTGAAAATATCTCGAAGGTATATTTAATAAACCATGTATTCCCAAAAGTTATCAAAAAAAATGAGATGTGACCGTCAATGAACCATATAAGCGTCTTTGGACGCTTGCCCAATAATCCGGTGCTATGGGCACTAAATAGGACTCTTCCAGCAAATAAAAATGTGTTTAATTAGGATAGCGTCAACTATACATCAATAATTTTTGAAATGTTGATATATTTGTTCTTCCATAAGCCTTTGGTTGATGTCAATTTTTATGGTTCCCCCATGTGGGTGAGTTGAAGAATGAAATTTTTGTGAGTGTATGATTATCACAAGACCCGAAACGTTAAAAATTGATAAGATGTCCATTTGACCATTGCAAAAAAGCAATCTGGTTACGCATGGAATATATGTCTCATCAAGAAGCGCATACATAACATATTTGATAAGTGGAATAGTTTTGCTTAATGAAGACGCATTTGTGGATCTGAAACTCAACCCTTAAAAAGTACAGAGGATATTAAAATACACAAGACAAAAGAAAAGACGTTGGGAGAAAACACAGAGCGGCAAAACTGCAAAGGCGCGGTCTCCTTCTAGTAACAGCAAAACTGCACAGGATTGTAACCCCCACAACATGAAACAAAACTGTGCAGCAATATTATCAAACAAAACTACTCCCTCCGTTCCAAATTACTCGTCGTTGAAATGGATGTATCTAGAACTAAAATACATCTAGATACATCCACATGCGCGACAAGTAATTCGGAACGGAGGGAGTAGTACATATGATGCCTGAGATGGTTGACTGAAGCTTAAGGAATCACTTTGGGGGCGATTGTGCATTATCTTAAAGTACATGCACATTCATGCAGATTGCAGAACTAGAACCAAAAATAGAGAGGCACAGATGAAAATTAGTAAGAGCTTAGCTAATGAGATTACATCATCATCCGATCTTCTTGAAGAGAAAAAAGATGTTCGCTTCTCCAGAGAATCAGTACACACGAGTTGCACGATATGTATCAGCCCGTATCAGCCGAATGGATGGGCCGCGCTAGATTGGATCAGCTGACGCCGTCGAAGTTGCTGCTCATGAGTTGCAACGTAGCGCTCGGCAGCGCCCGGTTCACATGCGGTTGCTCTGCATGCATGACCACGTACACCGCATCAACACCGATCTAGCTAAGTTAACTCATGGCAATCGATTGATCCAAGGGGCTTGAGCTTACTCTTGATGGCCTCGAGCTCGGCCGGCGTGACCCTCGCCGAGAACCCGCTGACCACGTTCTTGTAGTTGTATATGATGGCCGCCTTCGCCTTCTCCTCGCTTCAACGCGAACACACAATCACCATGCACGCACGCACGCCAACGTATGAATTGGATCACACACGGCCGATCGAGTCGTATACGTACCTGCCGAGGGCGGCGGTGAGGATGCCGAGGTGGTACTGCATGCAGGTGACGCCGGGCGGTGTGGGGTCGACGAAGAACAGGTAGGTGGCGGGCGGCCCGTCCGCCGCGGCGCCCATGACGACGGCGCCGAGGACGAGGAGTGTGAGGAAGGTGGCCGTCGGAGGCGTCATTGCATGCAAGATCGATTCGATCGATCGGGCAGGAAAGGTTTCCTCTTGTCTCGTCAGTTCTCTGTTTATGGAGCTACGAGGAGACGAGGCCCGTATTGAACGGCGCCGGTTGTTCGGTTGCGACAGCGCTTTTGTCCCATGGCTCCGAAAATAGCAACTTCCTGCATGTACGTACGTTCATCTCGATGTTGCAATCAAATTTCGGACAGTTTTTTCTTCAATTTACATGAGGTATTGCGAACCAACATGTGGTTGAATGATCGATAGCAGCTCGGGCGGAAGCAGCACAATCACACCCAAAAAAAATGAAAGAGAAAAAAAAAGAAACAAATGCCGATAACAGCGGGTCGACAAAAATGACGATGCCTCGTGACCGCTGCGTCCACCGGAGATCGCCCACCAAGCTCCGAGACTCCGAAGCGCCAGTACCAATCAACATCTTCAAGAAGGAACGCGACGATGACGACGTTGCTGCCAAGGGTTTTCCCCGATACACGGCGAGGAGAGAGAAAGGGTAGCCCGACACCTTTCAGGAAGGTCCAGCGGCACCCTCAGGCGCCACCGCGTCAGTGTCGGCCAAGCCAACAGGGATTTCTCCCGATCCCAGCCTCTACCTCAAGCACTTCGGAGCTCGCCACCAAACCGACCACCACCCAACGCCAATACGGACAGGAAGCTTCACACGTTGTCTCACCACGACACCGCGAAAATGGTCTGCACAACGAAGAAGAGGAGCCGTGACTAGGGCAACAACACCGTCGACATACGGGAGGGCCCCACCTCCACCATCCATGACGGTACCCGACCGGATGCCATAGCAGGAGCCTACCAGGCCTGTGGCCCACAGGCCCGGCCGGGCCCTCAAAGGCCCGGACAGCTCTCGCCTCCGTGTAGCAGCTGGCACACCGTCGGCCTCGCTGTCCTAGTCCAAGCCGCTCCCCAACATCCCCATACATAAGGCGTCGCGGTCACTAGTAGAAAAAGGGTCAAATGTGAGACATATTAGTCCCGGTTTGCATTTGAGCTGGCACTAATGTGTCCAATAGTGCCGGTTCAAATGGCTAGGAGGGAGGAGATCTTTAGTACCGGTTCAGTGCCAAACTTTAGTACCGGTTCATGCCACGAACCGGTACTAAAGATGCTGGGGCCCGGCCAGCACATTTAGTACCGGTTCGTGGCATGAACCGGTACTAAAGAGGTTGTGGCAGGCTGTTTTTAGTCCCACCTTTTTTTTTCGCGAATACGCAAAGCTTGCGTATCATTCATTGATAGAAGAACTTAGAGCGAATACAGTGGGGTACAACCCATGACACGAACGCAAGAGGCGTGAACATGGTTGACGAAGCAAAGAGACATGAGAAGCTCGACCCAAACAAAGAAAAACACAGCTAAACTCTCCAACCTGGGAAGCAACCCAAGCAACAACTAGACGACCAACATCTCCACATCTAGAACCGAGGACACCGCGAGCAAACAAGACAACGCCTTCACGAAGGAGAACGACACCAAGATGCCGTCGTCGTCTGATCCGAAAAACCGGACCTAGGGTTTCCCCTGATGCTCGAAGAGGGGCACGAATAACGGCCATGACAGCGCCTTCAAGAAGGTGACGGCACCCGCGGGTGTCGCCGCTGCCAGCATAAGATGCAGGGATTTCGCCCTGGCCATGTACCGAGCAATCCCAAGCCGTCGGAGTACGATTCGTAGAAGAGGAAGTCAGGCATACGCCAGAACTGCATCCGCCGGAAGGGGAGCCACGCTCGACGCCGAGGAGGCACCGGGCGCCGCCGGACGTGCGAGCTCCAAAGGAGGGTGAGGTTGCATGGTTGAGCGGAACATGAGGATGCGATGGTAGCCAAGCCCCGGACGACCCAAGATCTGGAAAAGAGCGCAGACCAAGGCCACTGGGACCAGAGCAGCATGGACGCCGACAGACCCAAGGAGCTGAAAGGGGACGCAGCTCACAGAGGGTTCCGTAATCAAAGATGCACCGGGTGAATGGCCAACCAAGGATGCCAGCAGGGTTGTGGTGGTGCGGAGACGCCGAGGATCCATCAAGCCTAAGGTGCCGGAAAGAGCGCAGCGCCCGAGGCAGGTCAGATCCAAAGCTGCGCCGGCCGGCCATGGACACAGGAGGGGGCGCAGGTCCTTGACCGTCGGGCCGAAGCCGGCCCTGCTGGGTGGTGATGGTGGTGGTGTAGAAGACTCGCGCTCAGCCAAAGCTCCCGGCCGGCGAGCTGCAGGAAACAACTGCCGTGGGACACAACCGAACACCTCCATGACAGGAAGCTCGAATACGGGGTGGGGGAGGGGGTCGGTGGAGAGGTGAGACGCGGCAAGGAGGGCGCACCCGGACGCCGCTGCAGGCCGGCCGGAGAGCACCGCGGCCGGCCGGACGAGAAGCCCCCAAATCGCATCTGGGGAGGAACGGGACCGCACCGCGCCCAGGGAGCCGCATCCGGTGAAGGCCACCCGCGCCTCCCAGCGAATCGGAGAGGAGACAGCAGGGGGTGGCCGGCCCTGCCGTCGGGGGAGGCCGCCGGCGCCGCCGCGGACCAGATCTGGGGGTGGGGCAGGCTGAGGGGCGGGGCGGGGCGATGGAGCAGGAAAAAGAGGGCCCCGCCACCGCCATCATAGGGCCCGGCGCGGCTTCGCCGGCCAGCCCTCCGGCGACGGCGACGCGCGGGCGGGCGGAAGGTGGTTGTCAGGCCGGCGGCGGCTGGATTTTCCCCCGTGTCGCCCGGCTTGGGCGACGCGGGGGTCGGGGGTGCCTTCTGTGGACCTTTTAGTCCCACCTCACTCCCCTAGCAAGATTTTTACCACCTTAAGTATCTTACTTCTCAAACTATCACAAGCATTTGGTCTTCATTGAACTCTATGTGTATAATTTGTGGACTCAATATGAGTCTTCACCGGTTTCTAAACCGTTGAGGACTCATATTGACAATTCAGATTGTACACAAAAAGATCATTGATAATCAATGTATTTTTAATGTATATTTTTACATGTTTATGCCCTCACTCTCTCCACTCACTCGGTCTCCCCCTCAATCCCCCGCGCCGATCCTCCCCCGCCAGCCGCCACTCACTTCAAAACTAGACGCACTTCGTGTACAAACTGGACAATCTCTTTCGGAGTATCAGGGTTTCGGACGAGAACTCATCTGTTACACGGGCACTTCATTTTTTAAACTTATTTGAACTCCAGACTTTTTTTTGAGCCGGCATTATGCAGCATTCGAAGCGACGTCATCAATTTTCAACACGTTCTGACATCATTTGCTTTTTTTCAGTCACCGATTTGTTTAGATCAGAGCTAAATTACCGTGAAATTGAAAATCACTACAAAACGAACTCTGAAAATGTTGAAGGTATCATCATTTCACCCGCATAGCATGCGCGAAAGAGTAGAGAGGGTCACGGCAAAAACTGGACGCACTTCGTGTACAAACTCGACAATCTCTTTCGGAGTATCAGGGTTTCGGACGAGAACTCATCTGTTACAGGGGCACTTCATTTTTTTAAACTTATTTGAACTCTAGACTTTTTTTGCGTTCAGTATGTAGCATTCAAAGCGACGTCATCAATTTCCAACACGTTCTGACATCATTTGCTGTTTTTCAGTCATTTATCACTTTGTTTAGAGAGCTGAATGACCGTGAAATTGAAAATCACTACAAAATGAAGCATTATGCAGCATTCGAAGCAACTCATCTGTTACACGGGCACTTTAATATGCAGCATTCAAAGCGACGTCATCATTTACCAATTTGTTTAGAGAGCTAAAGCAAAAATATTCACAAAGAAACTAAATACAGCAAAAAAAACTACTCAGAAATAGATAGAAGAAAAAATAAAGAAGAAAAGAAAAAACTATATACAAAAATTACTCAAAAATAAATAGAAGAAAATAAATAATGCAAATAAGAAAAAACTAAAAAAACTACTCAGAAATAAATATAAGAAAAAAAATAAAGCAAAAAATAAAAAAACTATATAAAAAATTACTCAAAAATAAATAGAACAAAATAGATAATGCAGCAAAGAAAAAAAACTAAAAAACTACTCAGAAATAAATAGAAGAAAAAAAGCAGAAAAGAAAAAACTATATAAAAAGATTACTCAAAAATAAATAGAAGAAAATAAACAATGCAGAAAAGAAAAAAAAGAAAAAAAAAACTACTCAGAAATAAATAGAAGAAAAAAAATAAAGCAGAAAAGAAAAAACTATATAAAAGAATTACTCAAAAATAAATAGAAGAAAATAAATAATGTAGAAAAAAACTATACAAAAAATTGTTGGGGCGCAGTCCAGTAGGCTTGCCAGACCTAGAGTGTGCAAATTCAGGCCCAAAAAGGCCGGCAGGCTCACAGGGCAGCGCGCCCTAGTTAGGCCCAGAAGCCTGCTATACAGAGAAGTTCGAAGGAGCAGCCGCGGCTGGGTTTATAAACCAGTGCGGCTGCCCTTCGCTCGGCGAGGTGGGACTAAACATATATAGTGCATCGCGGGTGGCAGCGCACAATCATTAGTACCGGTTGGTGGCTCCAACCGGTACTAATGGGTGGCCTTTGGTACCGGTTGGGGTAATGAACCGGTACTAAAGGCGGTCGTTTCCAGCCGCTTGGCCTGGCCAAAATTGGCCTTTAGTACCGGTTGGTGGCTCCAACCGGTACTAAACGTCCCTCCTATATATATGGCACATACGAAAAATTCAGCTTCATCGACCACCACTTCTTCTCGCGTGACATCGCCGTCGCAGCCGCGCCGTTGCCCCTGCCGCGTGCCGTTGCCCCCGCCGCGCGTCGTCGCCCCCGCCGCCATCGCCTCCCCCGCCGCCCGTCGTCGCCGCCCCGTACTACGTCGCCGACGTCTCGATCGCGCCGTCGATCGCCGGCCAGCCGCCCATCGTCGATCTCGCCGTCCCCGCCGCGTCGCTGTCTCGCGCCGCCGCCCGTACGCCGCTGCCCCCCGCTCGTACACTCACACACAAACACACACA